CTTGCTGCCATGTATGCTGTGACCATTAGTGATGAGGGCGACTGTTACCGGTGTTTCCCGCCCGACCCGGGCATTGGTACTGCTGCTCTAGGTGCCAGCGAGGCTTCTGCTCTAGGTGCCAGTGCGTCTGTGCTCTCAGGTACTGGTGAGGCTGCTCTCTCAAGTACTAGTGAGTCTGCGCTCTCAGGTACTGCGTCGGCTTCGGCCTCCCACACCTTCACCCTTGACTCTGGAGCATCTCGCTCCTTCTTTCGGGACCGCACCACACTCACGCCGCTTAGTCGGCCGGTTGCGGTGTCCCTGGCTGACCCCTCTGGGGTCCTGTTCTGTCTCGCTTCTCCACAGTCCTCCCGTGTCCCGGCGGCTCCCTCTCTGGCACCCTGTCTGGTCTCTACCTCCCCTCGTTCTCTACGAACTTGGTGAGTGGTGCTGACCTACAGGATGCGGGAGTCCACCAGTTCACCCCTGCTCGTCAGCGAGTGACGCATTGCACAGAGGCTAGCACAGGTCGTCACCTGGCTACGTTCACACGTCAGCCAGGGTCGAGCCTGTACACACTGACCACTGCTTCTCCTCCAGTCACTGAGTCTGGTAGGGTCCCCTCGTCAGGTCAGGTGTTTGCTGCAGCGTCCAGGTCTGGTCCTGAGTCTGCCCCCTGTTCGTGTCGTCGCCTGTCTCACGAGACTCTCCTCTGGCACCACCGCCTGGGTCACCCCTCTCTGCTTCGGCTCAGAGGCATGGCCTCCCGTCTTCTTGTGTCTGGTCTTCCCCGGTCCCTCCCTCCCCTTCCTCAGGGCCCTGGCCCTGCCTGTGTCCCCTGTGTAGAGGGGCGCCAGCGTGCTGCCCCTCACTCCTCACAGTTTCCTCCGACAGAGGCTCCGTTGCAGACGCTTCACATGGACGTGTGAGGCCCGGCCCGCGTCCGTGGACTCGGTCACGAGCGCTACTTCCTGTTGGTGGTTGACGACTACTCGCGTTACACCACAGTCTTCCCCTTGCACAGCAAGGGTGATGTCACTGAGGTGCTGATCGACTGGATCCGCGCAGCTCGTCTCCGGCTCAAGCAGAGCTTTGGCTCAGACTTTCCTGTGTTGCGTCTGCACTCGGACAGGGGCGGAGAGTTTTCCTCTGGCCTTCTGCGTGCCTACTGTCGTGCGCGAGGCATCCGTCAGACCTTCACGCTTTCGGACTCACTGCAGCAAAATGGGATTGCAGAGCGCCGCATTGGCATGGTCATGGACGTCGCTCGTACGTCCATGATGCATGCGACTGCCCCCCATTTTCTGTAGCCGTTTGCGGTCAGGTACGCGGCGCATCAGATCAACCTCCACCCCAGGGTCTCCAGGCCGGAGACCTCCCCAGCCCTGCTGTGGACGGGGAAGGTTGGCGATGCGTCGGCGTTCCGGGTCTGGGGATCTCGGGCGTTTGTCCGCGACTTGTCTGCGGACAAGCTGTCCCCTCGTGCTGCTCCCTGCGTCTTCCTGGGGTTCCCCCCGACGCCCCTGGGTGGCAGTTCTACCACCCCACCTCTCGCCGTGTTCTATCCTCCCAGGACGTCACGTTCGACGAGTCGATACCCTACTACCGCCTCTTCCCCTACCGCACTCCTCCGTCCCTCCCCCCACCCCCGCTCTTCTTGGTACCACGTCCCCCCCCCGTAGACCCCCTTCCCCCTCAGGGTCCTGCCCCTTCAGGTGTGTCCCAAGTAGACGCGGTCGAGCCTGTCGAGGTCACTGGTGACTCTGGTGCTGCAATGGGATCTGAGCCTAGGGGTGTTGTGACTGGGGGTGCTGTCTCTGGGGGGCAGAGCCTGGGGTGCTGAGCCTGGGGGTGCTGAGCCTGGGGGTGCTGAGCCTAGGGGTGCTGAGCCTGGGGGTGCTGAGCCTGGGGGTGCTGAGCCTAGGGGTACTGAGACTGGAGGTGCTACACGCCTGGAGGTGCTTTGCTTGAGGGTTCTTCGCCTCCGGGTGCTTCGTCTCGCCGAGAGCCACTCTCCCCGCAAGAGCTGCGTGAGTGGTTTTTCCCGGCGCTGCAGGCGTGCTGCTGGTGCTGTGAGGTTCTTCGGCTGCTGACGGTGCTGCTGCCGCGCGTCCCGGAGGTGCTCCTACTGGGAGTACTGGAGCTGCTGGGCCTGCGGGTTCTACTGGAGCTGGTGCTGCTGAGCGTGTTGGCGCTGAGACTACTGCTGGCGGTCCGGCTGGCAGTGCTCCTGGTGCTGCTGGAGGTTCTGGTGCTGCTGGGGGTTCTGGAGCTACTGGAGGTGCTACTGGAGGTGCCGCTGGAGGTGCTACTGGGGGTTCTGGAGCTACTGGAGGTGATGCTGGAGGTGCTACTGGAGCGGGTACTCCTGCTGGGGGTACTGGTGATGTCCTTGCTGTTTCTGGCGTCGTCTCGCGGCCCAGACCGTACTTCGTTCCCCTTCTGCAGCAGGTTCTTGGTCTTACACCTTCTCCTGGTCCTTCTCCTCCTCCCTTAGAGGGTCCACAGCCTGTCCAGTCACAGTCACAGCTACCCCGCCTGCCTCCCCTTTGCCTGCTCCTTCTCCCTACGCTGGTCCGACTGGAGGTCTTACTGAGCGTCGTGAGCCTGCGTCTCGTCCTGCGTCGCCTCTTCGTACTGCGCGCACTAGTGGTCGCGGTTCGCGTCAGCGTCCTCCTCCTGTCCCTGGCACGCACCGGATGTCTCAGGGTCCGTCTACTTCTCCTCTGCGTGCCCCTTTGCCTTCTCCTCCTGCGTCCTCTCTTCCTCCACTTGCCGACCCGGAGTCCGACTCTCTTCGTGCTGCCAGTCCTACTGTCACGCGTCTCCTTGCTACTACCGTCACTGACCCTTCTTTCGAGTCCTCTGCTGCGTCTGCCCTTGTCACTGAGCTCGTCAACTTTGCTGCACGTTGTCGTCTAGACTACGCTGCTAGTCTTGTCGCTGAGTCTGAGTCTGTCTGTCCTCCGTCCGTCGGGGGTGAGTGTGCCCTTGGCACGGACGTCCTTGAGGACAGGCAGGAGGAGTTCCAGTGTCTGGCCGCCACTTCACCTCATCTCGCGTCTGTACTGCTCGCCCCTGAGGGAGACCCGGATGCACTAGACATCCCGACTCCGCGCTCTTACGCGGAGGCGATAGAGGGTCCCTACTCCTCTCAGTGGCAGGCAGCTATGGATGCAGAGATGGCTTCCTGGAAGTCCACAGGCACCTACGTCGACGCTATTCCCCCTCCTGGGGCGAACATAGTCAGTGGCATGTGGATCTTCAGGGTGAAGCGGCCGCCGGGTTCTCCGCCTGTCTTCAAAGCGCGTTACGTGGCTCGTGGCTTCAGTCAGCGGCAGGGAGTTGACTACTTTCAGACCTTCTCTCCCACCCTGAAGATGACCACTCTTCGGGTACTGCTGCACGTTGCTGCTCACCGTGACTACGAGCTTCACTCTCTCGACTTCAGCACTGCTTTCTTGCAGGGCAGCCTACACGAGGAGATCTGGTTGCGTCGCCCACCTGGCTTCACTGGGTCTTTCCCTCCTGGTACCCAGTGGAGTCTCCGGCGTCCAGTCTACGGTCTCCGCCTGGCGCCACGTGAGTGGCACGACACACTGAGGACTACGCTGGCGGTACTTGGGTTTGCTCCTTCTACTGCCGACCCGTCGCTGATTCTGCGCACCGACACCTCTCTGCCGCCGTTCTACATCCTCGTGTACGTCGACGACTTGGTCTTTGCCACAGGTGACACTGCTGGACTCGCCTACGTGAAGTCCGAGCTGCAGAAGAGACACACGTGCACTGACCTGGGTGAACTGCGCAGCTACCTTGGCTTGCAGATCACCCGGACAGAGCACGCCGCACCATTACCCTGACTCAGTCACACATGGTGCAGCAGGTCCTTCAGCGCTTCGGCTACAAGTACTCCTCGCCTCAGGCCACTCCTCTGCCTACTCGCCACTCGCTCTCAGCTCTGCCTTCGGATGAGTCCGTAGAGTCGAGTGGCCCGTATGCAGAGCTTGTTGGCTGCCTCATGTACCTGATGACCTGCACACGACCTGACCTTGCATACCCTCTTAGCATTCGTGCACGCTATGTTGCTCCTGGGAGACACCGACCAGAGCACATGGCTGCAGCGAAGAGGGTGTTGCGCTACTTGTGCAGTACGTCGGGCATGGGCTAGTGCTTGGAGGGCGCAGTCCAGTGGTCCTCACTGGGCACGCGGACGCTTCTTGGGCTGACGACCAGGCTACGCAGCGGTCGTCACAGGGTTACACCTTCAGCCTTGGTTCCGGCTCTGTTTCGTGGCGGGCTACCCCTCGTCTTCTGTCCTCGGCTCCTGTTGTGAGGCTGAGATCTACGCCGGGCCTATGGCTGCCTAGGAGCTTCGCTGGCTCACCTACCTGCTGACCGACCTTGGAGAGCCGCCTCGTTCTCCTCTAGTCCTGTACGTAGACAACAAGGCCATGCTGGCCTTGTGTCGAGAGAAGCGACTGGAGCACAGGACAAAGCACATTGCTCTCCGCTACTTTCTTGCTCGTGAGCTACAGCAGCGTGGACAGTTGCGACTTGCGTACGTGGCCTCTGAGGCCAACACTGCTGATGTCTTCACCAAGGCACTTGCGCTTTGTGATCATCAGCGCTGCTGCACGCAGCTGGGTCTTGTGCCTGTCTTGCCTCACTTGCTCACTTCTTGACCTTGCTTGTACCTTCACCTATATATACTCTTGCTCTTGCTTGCTTGACTCTTGTATATCTCTATATATGATCTTGCATGTGAACTGGCCTTCTGGCCTTTGAACTTGTGCTCGGAATGTGTGGTGACTTTGTGATCCACCCTGAGCTTTGCTTTGCTTTGCTTGACTTGTCTTGTGACCCCTTGTTCTCCCCCACTTTGCCTATGGGGGTGTGTCAGAACATTATAGCTTACTTATTTGTGTAGGCTAGTGGGGTATCCCGTAGGGGGTACAACCCAATTAGGGTTTCCTATTTGTACTCACTTCGTTCATAGTCATTTCATTCTCGTTCTATTCTTCTCACAGAGCTGCCGCCTTCTCCGACAACCACCGCTTTATTGTGTCCTGCTCCGTCAGAAACATCTCGACCTGCCGGATCGCCATGCTGTCTAACCGGTCCTTCGAGTCGATTAGTCCCAGCCCTCCCTCTTTCTTGGGGAGTCTTGCCAGTTCTCCGCTCCAGAGGACGAAAGTCTTATCTGCCGTCGCCTCCCCTTTTGAGACGTAGTTGTCACAGGTCTTGCAAATCTTTGCCCATAACTCCTCCGGCGGTAGATAGATTCGCGCCTGGAACAGGAGTATTGGCATGATGTAACAATTGATGACTGTTACCCTGATCGTCGTCAGTAGATGTTGACTCTCCAACTTGGCCAACTCCTTTCTCCCTCTTTCTCACGCTTTCTCTCCCAAGGGGTGCCGCATCAACATCTGGTGTCACCCAGATGCCAACAGACGCTCCGGAACCCCTGCCTTGGCCCATTTGAAGGAGACCCCCGGTAAGAACGTTCTGCCTTTGTTCCTTCCCAGGGGCATCACAATTGACTTGTCCTTGTTGATCCGCAGGCCTGAAATATCCCCGAACCAGTCGAGGGCTGCTGCCGTTGAGTGCAGTTGCGCTTCTCCCCCGGAGGATCAGAGGAAGTTTCGTCCGCGTACCGCACGTATGACACCGCGTCTCCGCCGCCTCCGCTCTGACCCCCAAATCGCGCCCCCTTATTTCGGCGCAGAGCGGCTCCAGGGCGCACAGGAAGAGGTAAGGCGCGAGCGGGCAACCTTGCCTTACTCCTCTCTGCATCTCCATCCGTTCACCTAACCAGCCATTAATCGCCATTCTCGTCCCGGCCCCCTTGTGCCGGCCTTCCGTCCACCTGACAAAGTTCCCCGGCAGCCCGAGCTTCTCCAGCGTTCTGAAAAGGAAGGCCGCGACACCGTGTCGTAGGCCTTCTGAAAATCCACCAGCAGGAGGTACCAATCCTCCCCGTCGTTGTACGCCGCCTTGATCACGTCAGCCACTACCACGACCGCATCCGCCAGGCTGCGCCCCGGTATGAAACCATGTTGCTCCTTCGAGATTACTTGATGAAGCTCCTTCTTGAGCCTGTTCACTAGGACCTTGGCCAGGACCTTGTACACCGTCGTGAGGAGCGTGATCGGCCTGTAATTTGTCAATAGGTCCTTCTCTCCTTTTTTGTGCAACAGTTTTGTTAGTGCCGTTGTCAGTGATTTTGGCAGCACCCCCGTTCGCTCAAAACCTCTGACAAATTCCATGAAGCACTCCCCCAGCAGGTCCCAGTGAGACACAAAAAGTTCCGCCGGCAGGCCGTCCTGACCTGGTGACTTCCCCTTTGGCAGTCCGATCAACGCCGCCTTGACTTCGGGTTCCGTCCACGGGGCACCGAGCTTGGCCGCCGCCTCTGACGGCAGCACCCGGTCCACCACGAAATCAGCATCCGCCGAATGTGGCCCCACCTGGACCTCCTTGAACGCCTCCTCAAAGTGAGCTGATGCCGCTTTGAATACTGGCTGTGATCCCCTACATCGCTCACCCCCTGAACGCACCTCTTCTATCAAGGTACGTTCCTTCCGCATCTTCACTTTGGTCGACAGGTAGGGGGAGGGGATCTCCCCTTGCAGCTCCGTCGTGCATCCCGCGAAAACCTCCGGCCTCTCTCTTTCATTCTCCGGGTACGCTTCTAGTTGCTCCTCCCTGGTCAGCAGCAGCGAGTTTGTTTTGTCGTCTGTCGATCCTCCCTGACCAGGTGACGCAGCTGCTCGACCTCCTCCATGAGGTGCAGCTGCGTTGCTGATATTCGTTTTTCTTTCTTCCATTTCGTGCGTGCGGAGCCCCACCATCGTCCTTGATATCAGACAGTCTAGGGACTCCCGACCCGCCTGGCGAGGGCATCCTTAATCCCCTGTATCACCTTCCTTACCCCCTTCTTTTTCCTCCTGGTTGCGTGAAACCTCCAAAGACCAGGCCCGTACGCTTGTTCTGACAAAATTTCAGCCGAATCTTTATGGCAAACCAGTGATCGGATAGGTTCCTTGGTACTCCACATGCCGAGCTCCCTCCAGGTTGCCCGCAGCGACATAGACACCAGGGCCCTGTCGATCCGGACTTTGACTGCGCGGCCTTCACTTTGAAGGTGTTTCCCGCCCCGGGGATGCAGAGCTCGGAAGGCATCCCGAGGTCGTACGCATGTCAGGCGTCAAGAACCTCTGATTTTCTCTCCCTGTACCCTGTTCTCAAGGAGACCTGTCCAGATCCAGATCCGCGACCATGTTCAGATCCCCG